GGGAGAGTACCTATACTTGACAACAGGTGACTTGAGATGTAACTGGTGGATTGTTATTTTTCGCTGCTACGCCTGCCAGGGCACATACTGATGTTGTACAGCCAAATAGCCAATCATGGCTGTTCTCCGCGGTCTCGGACAAAATTCATCGAATGTCCGAACCATGTTTGGGCGTTTGGCAATCCGGGCCGTGAGCCGTTGTTGCAGAATTGTCGTGAGTCGGGGAGACTTTGTACAACAACGGGGAAACAGCCATTTAGGCTTAAAAATAAAAATTCAAAACAACCTAATAAACAACAATGATAAGGTAATAATAAGGTTGTAAGTAACAACAATATACGATTTACCTATCTATTATTTTCTTATTGATAAATTATATATTTTACCAAGCCATAATATTATGCTCAACTAGGGTTAAAGTTCTGGGGGGCTAACAAAACTATTTATTTAAAATAACCCATAGGAGCTTATATCTAAATCAATAAGGGATATTTGTGGGGAGCTAAATCTTAGTCAGGGAGGCTAAGCCCCCTCCCCCAAGTTGCACCAATGGTACCCACCGTTATGCATAGAAAAAATTAGATGTATAGTACTAAATATTTTTATTTTATACAAATATGATTCTATACTGCAATTCCGAATCTATATGTATACCGTAAAAGCGGGATACTTTGCTAAAAAATATATTTCTTTTTTAGTTTGAACCTATACTATAGCTTCAATAACAAAGATAAAAATTACCTGTTCGATTTGTTTTATATGTATTGATGTTGAGAGGGAGGAACAATTCAAAAAAATCCGAATGTCGTACTAGTGACTTACTTACTTATTCCCAAAAGTTTGGAGCAAAGTTAAAATACATTGCAGGTTACATTGCACAATGATTAAAATTACCTTACTTTAATGCATATAATAACTATTGGTGCAATGTTTAGTGCATGTGTTTTAACTTATTTGAACCTATACATAATATAATTTTTTTTTTTTTTAGTTGATTAAAAGTCTTTTTCAATACATTTTAAATTAAATTTCAATCCCCTAGATTTTTGATAACTTTTCCGTTGTGTTTTTGGGTTTTTGAAAACAATTTTTTTCATGACCTACATCTTGGAGGCAAACTAATAGATTGATGTTCGTAATGTTTAAAAAAATTAATAATGTTAATAAGAATAATATAAAAAAAACTACAATCTCTGATCTCAAAATCGTAATGTGCTACGATTGATATCAATAAATATTTTTTTGGAGCAATGTTTAACCCCTGGAGTAAAGTATCCCGCTCTTACTTTATTTTGGTAAAATACGATGTATATATTCAATCATATCTTATAATGTTATTTATTAATAAATATATGTACATATGTATGTTTGAAAATGACGAAAACATAAAGCATTTGCTTCAGCTTATATTATAAAATATATATAAAAATACTTATTTACCGAATAAGGAATGTTATTTATCATACAGTAGGTACCTACTACCTACCATTGGTTATAACTTATAATATTTATAATCAATGCTACTGCCTACTACCTACCTATACATGAATATATAACAATATATAACATCTTATATTATACTCTGTATAATAATAATTTCGTACTTATTTAAATAATGTTACGTCTGTTTCAAATTACAACATTTAAAGATAAAATCGAATAATACACAATGCATATTAGGTATAATGAAAGACATACCCTAATGTACCTATTTATTTTCTAAGATTAGAAAAATTCATCCTATAATTTTTTCTCATCAGATTGGTGCACAGATATATGGATTATGGATATATGTAAGTTCCTACCTATTTTATACTAAAATAGTAAGTACTTTCCACATAATATCTTATTATCTGCAGTATTAATGTTTACTATAAGTACTATTATAATAATATCCATTCTATAATAGCCTAATATTTTTATAGTCTATTTGGTAGATACCTATTTAATAGTCTACGATATTTAAAGTATACTATTATTCACTCGAATTCACTTATAGTTTATAATATATAGGTATCATATACCTATCTATATCGAATGTACCTAACACCTTGGATACTGATGAGTTTATTACAAGTGATAAGTGATAGTAATTTCTTAGTTATTGAATCTGATATTATCGAGTCTTTAATTTTAAAATTAAACAAAAATCATAATATTTTGTTCACTAACAATAATTACCATTACGAAAGTAAAACATGGATAACGATTATATTGGAAATATATATTAAGATATATTTGTAACGCAACATGCATATTATTGTAACTGCAGTACATTAGAACAGTGATTTATAATATTGTTTTTAAGAAGATCGACGTGGCAATCTTCAATAAAAGCGAGACAAACAGACAAACAGTAATCCGAATATAATAGAGGGCTACAAAATTCAAATAGACCAAACTATAGGTATCAGCCAGCCAATATAATTCGCATAGTATATCCGTGAATACTGTCCATGAAGAAGTATAATAAATAGTACAAGAAAGTCAAAACTTAAAAGAGTAACTTAAGGCCAGGTGCCATTGCAATTTTGTACACAAAGTAAGCTTTACGGGAATAGTGATCCTGTTCTTTAGAATCAACCAAATTTGATAATTTTATTTTTAACTTATAGAGGGTAATATTCTACAGACCACATCGAACTCTGTTTTTCAATATTTTGATTTTTAATCTCAAACTTTATAATATTTCATCAAAAATAATACAATTTTAAGTGTTTTTTCATGAATTATATTATACCATTATTTGAAATAAAATAAAAATCGAAGTTCGTTGAAGCCTGTAGGAAAGCTTCTTCTTTCAGAGATAATAGTTATAAAAATCTGAAAATTCTACCAGGCCTGAGAATTATTCCTATGAAATCATTTTTTTTCGACATAGGTGTATCCCCAAATAGGTAACTAGCAATAGATAAGTAAAAAAGTATTACAATTATTAAGGTGGCAACTAAAATATAAAATGTTATTATAACTCTATTTTATAGAATTTGGAAAACTGTTACCGGTGTAAAATAAAAATAAATTAAATATAAGATAATATTTATAATCAAAACATATAATAATTTAAATAGACTTTTAAAATTGGATATTAAAATACCTAATAGAGTACTAGACTATCTATGCAAACATTTTTAAATGAAGCATTAAAATAGTGGACCAAAAATATTCTTAGACATTAATAACATTATTAGACTACTAAACCGAAGTTTCTATAGAAGCCGCGTCAATAAGAATTAGACCTTTTGCAGGACGACTTAATACTAGATGTCTTTTAATCCTCTGAAACCGTCAGACTCGTCACAATATAAACCATCTACAGTTGCCAGTAGTTGTTGGTATCTAACCGTATTAATAGTTGACATTTCATATTCGAATAATAGATAGGTTATACGATAGGTCTAAGTGTTTACAACGCGTTTATATCGCTCCTACTGTACGTTGTACGGTACATTTTAGTACACACACATAATATAACTATCAACTATACAGATAACATGCAAAGCTTGACCCATTGCCGACGACAAACCGTAAAACCGGATTTCAAGCATAATTAGGTTTGTTTAACTACCAAGTATCGGACCACTAAATCGTGTGCCCAGTAAAATGGATTTTTGGCTGTGTACGCATACATTCGGGTATCCCAATAAGGAGCGTACCTACGCACTCTCTGAATATAATATGTTATTATGTACAGTGGGGGTGGGACAGAAACTGGTTCTTAAAAATATATTATATACCTAGTACCTATAAATATTAATTATAATTCTAGACGAGTGGAATGAAGAAGATAATAATATTACATCGTGTACTGCATTACATTATATACAGCTCGCTCAGGTCGTGATTCGTAGGAATCCGGATCATAATAATGTAGTCGGTCCGTCTTGTAGGCAGCGTATAAGTATATGCCGCATATATATATATATAAATATATATATGTACACTCGTAAGCACACACACACACACACACACACACACACACACATACACACAAGTAGCATAGACACAGATGTATTAAATATAATATATATATATCTAAGCATATAAGAGGAAGCGTGCGCACGGAACAATAATTATTATCGTCCATCGGCCTGCGCTGCAGTGGCGGAGACACCAGTGGTCGGCACACATTCTGTTGGGCTAGGTACATCGTACACACACACACACATATAAATGTTATATATCTACCTACGCGTACATAAAATATATAGTGACCGCCGCAGTGGCGACGCGACAACGTGGAGAAACACGCGCATTGAACGATACGACGTGGCCACCGCACGAACGCATCGCACACGCGCCGAATACAGTTATTATAATACTATATTATATTCATATTATATATACGTGAACACGCCGCGCATTTAATAACAATAACAATGATGACAATAATATAATAATAATAATAAATTAATTTATGTGGGCCGAAGACGAGGACGGAATGCTCGATTGGCCGCGTTGACAGATAAACACATATATAATAATACTGTATATGATGTACTTCGGCAATTGTACATAAGTACCTCTATATATAGATACGCACACGCACGAGGTAGGTACGTACCTATATACGATTGTCGCTTCTCCAGCACACACGCTATTGTCATTTGTCATTCATACGTGCGCGAAAGTGATTTGAGTGAATGTACACGTTCGTTCGACGATGACCCGGTAAACACGCGGTGAATCATAATCGACTGTATATTACTTATAATAATATAATGTGGTGACGAGTGCCAAAAAGCCGGCAGACTTGTTACAGCAGTCCGCAGTGGTCCGTCCGTGGTAAGTCGCATCATCGGCGCACTTCGTGCGTGTTTCATCGTTCGTGCTAAATTTCCGGTTCTGGTGCTCTAAACAAATTTTTATTCCACCATTCCACAACGACCTAGTCGATACTACTACCACTACTACTGCTATTAATAATAATAATAATTAAATTCGGTTCGGTGCACCTGTACCGCCATGCGCCGAAACTTCCTCGACGGCCAGTGATCGCCATGCGGTGGACCGGGTTCTGTATCGTGCCGTTGCTCCTACACGCAGTGGCGACTTCAGTGGCGGGATGCTGCGATGCTGCGGATGTCCAACCCGCGGCTTACCGGAGCGACGACCGAGGCGCGTCGCCGGGACCATTGCGATTGCGGTCGGTGATCGCGCGCGCGCTGAGCCGCGTACGCGAATCGACGACCGACCGTCGGTTGGCGGGCGACTTGTGGCTGGAAACGGTCGACTCCAATCGCCGTGATGGGTCGAGGTCTCTGCCCGATGATCTAGTGGCCCAAGCAGACGCCGTTTTCGACAACCATCGGCTATCGTGGCGTGACGCTTTAGTCCGAGGACTGGATTTGAACGTGTACAAGGATCGGGAGCTGCAACGATACGTACTCGGCGTAACTCAGCGCACCAGCGATTCGCAAAGTTTCGGTAAATATGATAAATTATCGTTGTACAGCGAGCTGTGTCCATTGAAATCGACCCATTTTAAAATCATTTTAATTCGATCATTGAGATATTGCGTAGGTACCTGTAGGTATATGTAGTGTGACGAAGACCGATCTTAAGTAAATAGTATTATACTATATTATCTTTACTCTGTCAATCTGTAGGTACCTCGAACATACTTATTTCTCGTCACATATTTGTTATTATCATGAAAATTAAATTAATTTAGAAAAATGTAATGAGTGTACATCCTCAAAATATAGTCATGATACGATAAATATACATATTTTTCAATTAACTATCAATAAAATTGTAAATCAAATCAAAACAAAACTGAGAAAAGAAATCATTATTAAATCATATGTTATAATATAGGAATAAAGTACACATACCTAATAAACATAAAAATAAAAATTATGAGATTCTTTAAATATAGTATTTATCAATACGATAATACGCCAATAATTCTGTAACATTTTATAATATTTCATTTTCTTGACATTATTTTTAAAATGTCTTAATGAAAACAAAATATTACAAACGTGTGACATCAAACACTACAAAACGTGAGGTCTGCTAAGTAATTATACATATAATTATATATACAGTGTTACATTTGTATCATAGAAACACAAAAATATAATTAGAAATGTTATAGGTAAAAAAACATATAAAAAACAGTTATATTCATTAACATAGAAAATACCTAAATGAAACTTAATATTTAAAATGTTTACGACATGAATCAGATTTATATCTCGCTGGTATTGATTCTTGAATAAAATTTATCGATATTATGCAAAATTATACGATTCGCCGCTATCGTTTTTTTTTAATTGAATTCCTAATTACTATTATTATTAATACCTGTACGGCGTATATAATAGGTACTATAATATTATACTATACCTACCTATTATAAGAAATAATAATATACTACCTACTACTTACTAGTAGGTATAATTCAAATTATTCAATAAATGCATCAATAGTTTATTTATTATCTCTGAGACACATTTCCAATATGTTTTTCTTAGTGACTCAATTCTATTGCCCTCGTTTAACTATTATAAATGACCGCATTTAAACACGTAGGTAGGTAAAACTTTTATATAAAAAAAAAATAATTTAAAAAATACATAGAATTATAAACTCGTTAGAATATACTAAATTCTAAGACATACATTAAGAATTTGGCAAGTCGTAAACCTACAATTTTTTTAACTAGGTTTAGCTGTTATGACCTGGGATCGCGATATTGGCCGATTTCTCAACAATCTTTAGCATTGTTCTGGTTTTTCTGTACAGGTACTGCCGTACAATAATAGCTAAGCCTATAGCACTACTCCAGCAGAGATGCGTTTACTTTCTAATTAGTACATCGTGTTTTTGTGTGTAATTAACCACTAATATTAGTTTTGTTAATTATAATTGTTGTTGTCTTGAATTAACATTTTTTTTTTTTTAATATTATATATTATTTACCATCACGATGTTCATGACTAGGTATGCTATACATCAGTGTCTCTTAAAAGGTTTAATACACGGTCGTGAACGGGGGTCCTCTGATGAAAAACTTTTTCAAACATCGGACATGCTTCGCAATTTTTCTTTCGAATAAGTAACCTTTTTTCACATTTTTTTAATATAAATCTCATGTTAATAAAAATAAGATAAACTGATATAAGAAAATAAGTTGTGATGCTCGATTATTAAATAATAATAAACTTTCAAATTTATAAATAACAATTACATTATTGCAAACAATGCAAACGTGCGTCCATACCCGGAACCACCGATAGCACAACGGACCCTTAGGGGAACTACTGAGTATAGTAAATAATAATATATTACACTGAGTGTCTCGTCTCACCAGAGCTTTGCTAAGCTATTAGGTGCCTCGGTATTAAGCCCCTAAATCAAAAAAAAAATACAGCATTATAGTGTGTACAGCTAAAACACGGTTGAGAAGGCTCAATTTATATTTTTTTCCAAAGTTGTTATACTTCATAATTTGTATTGAACGATTGTGCACGATATTTGATACTAGTCTAGATAAATAATAAAAATCAACTTTAAAATACTTATAAAAAGTTTTATGGCCTATAAAAGTGCCTTAAGTCGTTTTTGGTCTTCAATTTTAGTCATATATAAGTCGACAATACGATTTTAGAGTAGGAAAATGGTAAGAAAAAAAGAATAACTGTAAAAATAAAAAGTTAAAATAATAAACATTAAAAATAAATATGATTCCTATGTGATATGAAATTCTGTTAATTTATTTAAATATTTAGAAGATATTGGTTAACGCAATCCAGGAGTTTATTGACATGCTTAATTAATTTTAATACAGCTTTTTACTTATTAGGTAACCCATTATTTGTAACTATTTGCATACGTATATCTTTTATATGATTAAAATGTATTGCTATAATTAAAAGTAAAAACATTTTTATCATACATTTTATTTATATAAATATTTAATATAACTTATTTGAAGAATCCTATATATTATTTTTATTTTTCGTTAAACTTAAATTTCAAACGTCCAGAATCGTTCGATAGCCAATTAAATGATAGATAGGTAATTGCAATGCTGCACTTAAACTTGTTCGGTCTCAATCGTATTAGTTTTTTTTTGGTATAAGTCGTAGGTTAATTGTGAATATTTTAAGGCAAAATTTTTTCAGATAGATTTTTACATTATCAAAATATTTTAAAATCTATAAATATACAGTACCTATAAGTACTCAGTCACATCTATGTGTCTATATGCATGTACAATTTTTATATATTATATTACACTTATTTTATCAAATAATAAAAGGGTGTAAAGCTAAATAATGAAAAATGGATTGTTAAAGTTCACTCAAAAATAAATAACATCAAGAAATACATTATAATATTATTTATGAAATATAAATAAATAAAATATGTTAGTCAATATATCTAAGTCTATGGTACAGATCACGGTCTTAGAAGATCTCCTAAGACCGTGGTACTGATTATTGTACTTTATCTCAAGGAACCATAGACGTAATCATTCATAACCATTAACCATATACATTGATGTCAATTGCCAGATTACTGCAGACTATAATACAGTATGAAAATTGTCAAATTTTCAAATTTTTTTTTTTTTATAAATTATGGTAATTACATATTGATATATGTGAGCCCCATAATTTTACCAATATAAGGCGCCCCAAATGTCTCTATTTATCCTCCCTTTTACAACATCTTACCGTGTAAAATCGGCGCTAGATAGTTTGAAACGATGACAGCAGTACGAATTAAGAAAACCAGAGATTTTTTCGTAATTTTGATTTTATTACCATATTATAATATATCAGCAAACAAATAGTTGTCACTAAACATTTTAAAACTGGTATTACGTTATTCATATTTTTTTTTGTCATTTATTTTAATTTGTACAATCTGTATCAAATATTTCTACAATAGACACAATATATAGAGGAATAGGTGAATAATAGGGCTGGTTGGCTTGATTGAAGAAACTATTCAATAATAGTACTTCATGTCGTGGATAGTAGTGGTTAGTCGATTAGTCGACTAGTAAGTCACAGCACCAGCTACACGACGTTATTAGTTTAAAAGAAAATATTCTGCTTGAATGTTATTAACACAAAATAGAGATTTTATTAATTAATATTAAAAACCGGAAACGCATACTGCGACTAGTTTGGGAAACACATACTGTCAATCGCCGCCGCAGCTCTGATAGAATCTATCTGGCCCCGATTGTACGACCGTCGATAAGTGACAACCTCGTTCCACTCACCTAAGTTGAATATTTTTTTAAGAAGATGAATAGTACACACTACTCAATATAAAAGAGTAGCAATAGACATTCTTATGGCTGATAAGTGATAGTGAATGAACTGTAATTATTTTAAATGATATATTCATTACATGAACATTTAAAAGTAATCTATGATGTGCTGAATAATATTAATGTAAAACGAATTCGAAACTTAAATTTAATTGTCCGTAGCTCGTAGGTATATCTAATATAAGAAACGCCGTATTAACAATATCGACACTTTCATGTCAACTGTCCATAGGTAGGTTATATATAGGTAGTGTATAAAATGATTTCACTTGGCAAATGCAACTCGTTACATAAAACTGACAAAACACAATATACCTACTAATATAATGTGTTAAATACAATTACCATTGACAGAAATCGTGAGGCTTGGCTCCCTCAAATGATTTTTTAAGCTCCCCTAAAAACAACAAAAAATAACTGTTAGGTATATTATATTATATTATATTATATTTTATTATATTTTCTTTTAAAAATGTCTAAAATGTCAATAGAAAAGTAGTATTTATAATAGAATATTTTCTTAGTACCTAATATTGGTATAAATATTTTAACTGAAAAAACTCTTTTATTTTCCTTAAATGTTTGTATGGACGTGGACAATTTTCAATAATTGATGGAAATTTGTAAAACCATCAAGTAGGCATACGACAAATAATTATGAGCAAAGGAGACGGGCAATTAATTGAACTTAAACGCTTATCAAATGAAACTATGCATAATGGGTTTTACCGATGTTTTTAAATTGGTGTGAACAAAATAAGAACTTTGGAAGGACATATTGTACGACAATTTTAAACCTTAAATATATAAATCAAAATATTTAAATGTAAAATGGAATGCTGTTTTAAAATTTCGAAAATAAAATAATTTGTAAATTTTCTGGATCTAAATAGACTATAAAAAAAAAAGAATAATTTTCTAACATTATCTATAATGGCATTTTAATAATAGTAGTTGGAGCGAAAAGATACATTTTGTTTATTGCATTTTGGACAAATTTAAAATGGGCCCACGATTTCTTAATTTGTTGTAAACTTGGCCCAGAAATTTTAGGTAATAAAAAAGTTCGATTGAAAACTCAGTTCGGAAATTTTAGGTAATAAAATAGGTAGATTGTAAACTCGGTCTGAAAATATTTAAGATAATAAAAAAGGTCGGATGTTAACTCCGATTTCGAATTTGACCGATTATAACCATTTCAATTTAAAAATTTAAAAAAAAATAACTTTACAAGTGTAAAAATAAAGAAATATTGGTGAGTTAACACATAAAACACATTGCTTTTTACTTTAAAAAAATAGATTTTGCTTAAATTATTACACTTGTACACTACAATTTTACTTATATTTTTACACTTACGATTTTACATTAATACATTTTACTTATATTTTTTGCACTGAATACTCAAATGAAATCCAACGCTGAAACATTTTACTCATATTTTTATACTATTTTACATTTATATAACGAATTTCATACTATAAATAATAATATGAAAATGAAAATAAAACAAGATCATTTTTGGAGGATCGTGAGAGTTCTCAAAATTATTATAAGAAAATTATTGGTTAGCATAATATTTCTATTGAGGCCGAGTTTACACGTCATTCATAATTACTTAAAAAAGCCCGTAATCATCTTTACCTGAAAAAAAACCGGACTGAGTTAACAATAGACCTTTTGAACATTTTTTTTGTTCGGCAAGAGTTTACAACCGCCCTGCATTTTAAGTAGTAAGCCCCCTAGGGTGGTCCTTATTTTTCGTTTTTTCCCCCTAAAAAGGTTCAACTACAAAAAATATCATACAAAAAAAGTTTCATGCAAATTCTTTAATTTTAACCCATGCCACAAAAGCTCTTATGTTACAAGAATGGAAAATTTTCAATATTATCATTTTTTTGATATTCTTAAACATTTGTTGAGTCACAAATGATAGAAAACTAAATGTACTACAATTTGTTTCATATATTATATTAGCTTGCAAATATTTTACTTTTTCAAATATATTAATCAAAAGGTTAAAAAAAAATAATCTTAAAAATTGAGATACTTTCGGAAAATTAACATGCAAATAATTAATAAATAATTATAATAACAATTTACAATAAATAATAACATAATGACGTCTTAATACTTATTACTTATATAGTCATATCTTTAACATATTTTAAATTTATGACCATGTATAGGTGTTTTTTTTATGGTCAGGATATTTTTTACAGTAATCACTAACAATTTGTAGAAGGTATTGTTTTTGAGATTCATCTTTGATTATTTTATTGTTATAATCCTCTATAAGTTTTACTCCTATTTCGGCAACATCATTTATAACTGGGATATTTTTTAAAACTACCAGAGCTTCATTATTGTCCAAATATAAAGGGTCTTCATTCAAAAAAGTGGTATTGATTGCAAATCGTTTAAATAGTATTTTAGTATTTTCGTATAATTGACACATATAAAATCATAGATTTCCTTTTCTAAAAACTCGTTTTCATTTTTTGGAGATATAATTAAATGTTCTGCATTTGAATTTAATTCTGATGAACAATCGTCTTTGTTTAGAGTATGAATCATTTTTTTTTAGCCTCCAATGGCACAGCTTCATCGAGAAAAGAAAATTCACATAATTCTACAGATAAATACTATAAGTGACCACAAAACTTTTTAACTGCTATCTGAGATATATCTTTATCTATAGAGGTATAATGTAAAAGGTTTTTTTATAAAAATCAAGTCTTGTAAAGGTGCTTTGATTGAAAATGGTGAATTAAACCATAATGTTATGTATAATCGTACAATAAAAATGCAAATACTCCTTAAGGAACTTTCTTCTTTGGGTGTTAATCTAAACTGTTCACAAAATAAATATATTTTTAAGCTATAAATAGCTTTGGCCAACCACCAAGAGTGATGAATAGCATCTGGTATTTTAAAGCTAATATCACTTGAAAGTTTTCCGCCCAAAAAAATTACTGTTAACTCTATTAACTCTCGGTAATCATCTCTTGGATGCTTTTCTAAAAGTCGATCTTTAGAAAACTTAATAATATGATCACATAGGTCATTTACAGAATCCATTACAATACTATTTTGTATGCCAGGATTTAGGATTAAAATTGTTAGAGTAAATTGTACCCCAGGCTTGTTGGAACCTTTTAAAAATTGCCACTACTGAGCCCGATGTTGACTCAAACTTTAAATCAAACACACTTTTCAATATAATTTCATATATAGGTATGTTGACTCGCGTAAACTATTCTTGGTAACCATTGTAAATCAGTAAAATAAAATATATTTCTTACAAAGCATAACACATTGTGAAAACTTAACACACAGTATTTAAGTATGACACTGGTTGTTGTTAAAATTAAACTGGGAAATAAATCAATAAATCGCAAAATAATAATTGATAATCTATAATGATTTAATAAATCCGATAACACATCACGTACCTAAGTCCTTAGTGTACCTAATAATGTACAATGATGTAGATTGTAAAATGTAGATAATACTTAGTTTTGTTGTACTTACGAGTAATGAATGTTACAATGTGTCATGGAGATAATTTTCAAGTAATAATCGAAAAAATGAGTATAGGTATAGGTATTAGTTAAACTACTCAGTACCTACTCTTATTCGTACCTAACGATTCTATACTAATTTCTTATATCATAGATTACATCGTGTAGTATTACTAATTAAAAACTATATTATACAGTACGTAAATAAGTTTATGTTCATTCTTCATCTATATCAAAGGCCCACCCTAAAGTCCCCCCTAACACCCCCTAACACCCCCTAACACCCCCCCCCAATAGTTATAGAACTCAATTTCCACCTATGAATATTATTTATTATACTTCTCTATAATATACCATCCTCGTATTTTTTTTCAGTCTCTCGGACTTTTGGCATACGACGCCGGCGAATGCAAATGTTCTTCATGTTACCGGTGATGTACAAGCTAGGCGTGATCACCACGCTGTTGACCGGTTTGGTCGTGCTCACCCTCAAGGGCGTGACCATCGGCGTGATACTGCTTGTCATAGCCTTGACAGGCTTAGTGGCCAAGCTGTCCAAGTTCCACAATCCCTACATGTCACCGATTCCTGAAGTATCAGCCTGGTCGGGTTACCATCACGACCCTTACGACCGTTCATCGCAACAGCAATCACCTCCACCGCCTTCACAGGACAAAAACATACACGTGCACGTGCACACCGCACCCGGACCTGTGCCGTCAGCTGTCGGCTATTCGCCCGGTTCTGCGCCGTCAGCGGTCGGCTACTCGAAGGGTCCGCCGCCACTGCCGCCGCCACTGGACGACGATGACATGAATAACTACAACAACAATTATTATTATAACGGTGGAGGTGGACCGTATTGGAATCGAGCGGGTGAGGAATACTATGACGCCGCCACGATAAACCATCGCGGCGACAACCACCTGAAACTGAGCGCCGAGTCTACGACTGCCAGCAATAGTGTCTATCACCGGTGGTTAGGATAATAACTTGTATTATATATTATAATATATGTTAGGATAATAACTATTATATTATATTATAATATAGCAAAACCTCTGAATACAGAACACTCAGTTGATGACATTTTTTCCGCTGTTTTGCGGAGATCAGTTTGTAGTTGTTCTCAAAAAAACGTTCACAATTAGATGTGTTCGTTAGGGTGTTTTTACATATATTATTTTACCCTAAATATTATTATTATTATATTGTTGCGTACGACAAGCTTGTTACAAGAGCTGCCCACTTTTAATACGAATGAAAAAAACGTTTCCGTATAATTATTATTGTACACATAATATTGTATAATATTGCTATTAAATTATTATATTATAATATACTATTTACCGTAGCATATACCTATTATATGAATTACAATGGTAGGTAGTAGTTACTTTACATATAGACATAACATTACTGTGCTCGGGCACGTTACAAAACACATCTGAAGGGAGGAGGTACTTATCAATAAAAGTTTTCAAATTAAATCTTACATGGCCTGTTCGAAATATCATTTTTTGAAAACATTTTATCTTCCCCTCCCCCCGTCACACACACTGTTTACGTGCCTGACCATGCGTAATACTTACATACTTATGTTTGTCAATTACACTATATAGTCTATAGTTAGTACTTAATACAGAATATTAGAATACTTATTAGTTGTTATAGACTAGCTGTTTCCTATAGTTATAAGTAGGTACACTTGTTATACCGCAATGGCGCAATATACAAACCAAACATTATACTAGTATCTATTATTAATAAATATTTTACTATTGCAAATACCTATACTCTATTAAGTTAACATTAATATATTTTACAAATGTAACACCTAATTTATAGAAAAAATGAAATCCTGTCTTTTAAATAATTAAATGTACAAATGATTCGTCATCTGTCTGTTGAGCTTACTATAAAGCATTTAACATAAGTATTTTTAAATACTGGTTAAAATATCAATAATATACAGTGTAATAATTGTATAAAAGGCAGTTGAATTTTTATTTAATCTGAAAATGAAAAAATGATATACCTATTACTACTATTTGTATTTTTATTATTGTGCATTTAAATAGTATTTATAATGAAAAATGTATGTGTATAAAATAAACAAATCATAATATTACTATTGTCTATTATAATTGTTATTATTAAAATACCAAAAGAACATGAAAAAAGATTCCTATAGGTACTTAAATGTTATTATAATCATAGACGCAAATAAGGGGGCGGCTAAGTCCTAGAATTGCTTTAGCCCCCTAAATAACTAATGACTCGAACATGTTATGACGTAAAATCGTCAGAAGAGCATCTACTATCTAGTATAGATCTGAGCTTCAGCCCTCCAAATGCCAAACACTATTTGCGCCTATGATTATATAATTGGTTAATTAACCATGCCGATATTTGGGGACTCATATTAAATATCAAATAGCCAGTGTTGAATGGTGATGTTTAAGTAGTTACTCATTTCTGCAATGTAGTGACTTTTTCGGAAACTTCGTTATTTATTTATTAAAGACTAGGGGCTTTGCACCCAAAAAGTAACCCACAACTCGAAACCCGATTGAAAAAAATGAACACCCGAAATAACCCGAATTATTGAAAATTAAGTGGCATATCAATTTGTATATTGTATTTTTGCAACTAACGCGACTAAGAAGATAAAAAGATAGTACCTAGTGTAAGTGTATAACGGATAACTAATTTTTTTTTTGTAACCTACAAAATAATTAATTAAATATTAAAAAAAGCCTTGATGCTATATGATTGTTTTATTTTATTTCACAATATTCAGTAATATACAATAGTAATTGTGTTGTCTAACATTCATAATCAAAAATAAATACAACGAAAATACTTTTAGTTAAAAATTAAAATATGTAATAAGCGAGAACTTTCTTCTGTAGAAAAAGGACTGAGTAAGTACTAAGTACCTAATAATTAATAAACTAATAACTAATAAATATTAATATTTAATTTAGTTTTTTATTATTTTAATTTTTTTAATTTTGTTCACTTTAAATATAAAATCAGATTACTATATCAAATTTGCATTGAAAATCTCATGTTAATTGATATACAACATGTGTTTTTTTTTAACACCCAAATTAACCATAATTAACCCGAATAAATTTGCATTTCACCGTAACCAGAAAAGTGTATTAACCCGTAGCACCCGAATTCAATAACCCCATCGGCGTAACTAGGGGGGGCTTACTGGCTTAGGGGGGCTTAGCCCCCCCGTACTTCTTTTTAGCTCCCCAATGAGGTTTTACTTTTTAGCCCCACCTTAGGCTCGTAGTTAGAACCCAAATCGTTACGAAAAAATATAATGTGTAAAATAATAAATTATAATAATATCTATAATAATAATAATAATTATTATAATATTAAAAATTCTTCCACCAATAGAAAGCCACAAGGCTAATTTAAAAAGGGAATTGATCACCCCCGATAGGTGCTCAAAAAGGGATTTTGAGATTTACAATAAAATTTTTTGTTTATTAATGGTTGCTATAGATTATAGGAGTTGAGAATAATATTTATTTATTATTATTTTTTTTTTAATTTGAATATTAATGGAGCGTCTCAAATCTCAATCTCATTAATTAATATTAATATTGTATAATAAATATAATAAATATTCTAATATTCTATAACACCTAATTATGAATATTATATAATATAATTGACATTGTGTACAGTGTAGGTATATACCCAGTCCTGTAAAGAATACTTTTGAAAAGTACTTGAGTAAGTACTCAAATACATTTTTTTTTAAGTATTTAAGATACTACTCAAATACTTTAATTGTATAGTATTTAAAATACTACTCAAATACTTTGAAAAAGTATTTGGAATACTTTTCAAAGGGCGCGATACGATTGCGCGCGGTCCTTATCAGCGGTACCTTTTTAAGCATACGATTGCGCGCGCTATATTATTTTAACTTTTAACTTTTAAGCAACGTTGCCAAATATATAGGTCCATGGTAAATCCGTAGGATACCATAGTAAATTATAGTAGATTATTTATTACTTATTTTTGCCGATATCAGACAAACTTCCCATCACTAAAGAATGAATTGGTTATATTATCAAAAATATTATCTTTATTGTAAATGTCCATACATGTACGAATATACCTATACTATAATCGTGCATGATGTGACTATATCAATTAACTATCAGTTGTGTTCGGTTCTAATAATAGTTTTAAAAAAAAAATGTGTTAACTATAATATTATATTATTTATTTTTAGGACTACAAACGGGGCTGAAAGTTTCCATAGTACATATAATGCACAGTTTAATAGTGCTCATCCACCAATATTTTTTGTTATAGCTACCCTTATGGAACTTCAGGCAGAAACAGTTACCAAATTATTAACCATTTCCAAAGGTACCTATAATAAAACCAAAATCGAATGAAGAATCAAGGAAAATTAAAAATTTGAAAAATGAACACAAACATTATGTAAACAATAAAACACCAGAAAATTTACTAAAGTATTTGGCCATAGTTGGAAATAGGTATCGGGGGTTTAAAATTTAATATAAATATTGATTTACGAGTATTATATTTTTTCAATTATTAAATTTCTTTATTTTGTATTATTTTTTTTTAACTTTTTTATTTTTTATTATTTACGTTAATTTTTTAATTTTTTTTTAAATAACATTTTTTTATATTATTAACTTTTTGTATTTTTATTATTTACGTAATACATTTGGCAACGTCGCACCCAATTTCACGCGCAATCGTACGCCTTTGAGTAATTAAAATGTTGTCTTTTGTTATTCGGGCACTGCGCGCAATCGTATACCTAAAAAGGTAAAACGCGCGCAATCGTACTCCGCCGTTTTCAAATACTTTTGGTTTTTAAAGTGGGTTTCTAATTATTGTAATATAGACACATAGGTAGTAAATTTATAATAATTTTTATTTAATATTTATTAAATAAATGTTTATTACATTTATTTTTTATTTTTACATGAAATTTACAATCTGTTCTTAACTAGAACAATAAGCAAATGTGCATAGGGTATTTGCGTATGATTGATATTTTGAGGGAAGAAACCACCCATTGGTGATACGATACTACCTATTTTGTGTTCTTAATTTATTATAAAATTTCTAACATTATTTCGAATAAAAATAAAATGTTCGAAATAAAAAACCAAAGTATTCAATACCAAAAAGTATTTAATACAAAAAAAAGTATTTGAATACTTTTACTCAAATACTTTTATCAAAATACTACATGCTGAAAGTATTTAAAAAGTTATTCAATACTTAAAAAAGTATTTGAATACTTTTACTCAAATACTTTTACTCAAATACTTTACAGGACTGTATATACCAATTACGAACTTATCGTATTTGGTCATAGTTTTCGCTGAAGAAATGTGTTTATGTGTTTGAGGTGTATATTTGAGGTGTATCTGCTTATTGCATATTAGCTTCAAGCTTACCTATATAACGCCTATATATTCAAATTAAAAAATCAAGTAGTGCTAAGAACAAAGATGACTCAAAATAATTATGGTTTATATTCAATTTTGGTTTTAGAGGACTTTTTATAACAACTAAATTTCAGTGAATCTTATAAGGGGGGTGTGAGGGGCTTTGCCCCCACGTGTTATTTTACACTTTGGTTTTGTAGGACTCTAGCTCCTGTAACTATTCAATCTTAGTTACACCCATGAATAACCCGAATTTCCTTTCAACACCCTAAACCCGAAACCCGAAAAAATGATTCCGGTGAAAAGCCGTAAATTTGAAGTAATTACAATAATTATTTTAAAGCTTTTAACTTGGTATAATAACTATAGGTAGTAATATTTTTAGTATCAATTCTATGCAAAAAAAAATCTATTTAATTGAATTTGCCTACTTTTGGTACTTTTGTAATTTAGTTACAAAAAAGTAACTTAATAAACACTGCGTAAAGTTATATTAATAGGTAATTATAAGAAAT